AATCTCTCTGCATTTCACAAACTATGGTCCTGTAATATCATTTAAATTCAAACAAATCTGGGGGTAAGATGGGCAGTCAGCCAATTTCTAGGACACTGCAAATAGGAATAGGTAGAATTCTGTTTTACAAAGGCAGCTCAGTTGTTGAAGCCCTGTAAGAATACGAACAGAGTAGTACAAGGAAGGCGATTTTTAAACAATATCTTCTGTATAAAGATGGCTAGCTGTTGATGATTAGGGAAAGAAAAGCATGTGAGTGCCCGGTGCTATTTTCCACTAGCATGGCCTCCTTGCTTCCTGAAGTTAGCAGCATAGTTGTGTCAATGTGTTTGTGATACCGACACATTAGACTGGTTACGTTTAAGCTTATTACTTTAATAGTCAGCAATGCAATGATAGTAATAAAAGTATTTAGTAATTTGGAAAGGATTGCCCATACATATGAAACATGAGGTTTTGCTGTTTAAAACACAAAAGGAAACATCTCAATTTATTACCTTTTTCCTTAAAAACATTAATTTCGATCCAGATGTGAAGAGTACATTTAAATGTGGCTTTTTTTTGAAAAAAACCCAATTTTTAAATGTGAGATGAATGCTTTTAGTTTGTATTATTTCTTTTTCCATTGCAGTCTTTGTCATGAGAATGGTTTCATGTTGTACCATTTCCTGCGCTCCTTACAACCTTTGTCACATGAATAAGATATCAGAACGCTAATGACTAATATACAGTATTCTGTGTCTGCTGATACTATACTGTACTACTGTGACCTTTGCAATATTATGTATTCTGATTGGCTGTCCATTTCACCTCTTCCCCACAAGTTAATAAGGCTGTAAAAAGGAGAGAACTTGAAATGGCCAGCCAGTCAAATTACAGAATATTGAAAAGGTCAGAGCAGTACAGCACGCAGAAAAAAATTACGGAATATATGAGGCATTAAAATTCTTGTGACAATGATTATAACAAGAATGGAAAAGGATACCCATTTATGTTATTTCAATCTAGTGAACCCCATAGGATGATGGACCCAGGACAGCAGTAATTTACGCACCACCGACCCACAGCATCTTTATTCACCTATTTACAGTAGTACTCAGTAACAGGAATGCACATCTGCTTGGGAGCCCCCTTCAAAGTGTTCACCCAAAACCATAGTGAACCTTCAAACACAGATACTCACCAACTAGAGTGCTGTGCAAAGCTTAGCACTTTTAAACAATGATTTTGAATGGAATATGTATTTGTGTATCTTTTTAATGTAAGCATGTTTTATTACTTGACTTTGTTTCAAGTATACATAGTTTTTAAGTATGTATATGGATATTCTTTAGCCCTAATTTCTTCATTTGGATAATGTTTTCCTGAAAAACTGAGATACTTTGATCTGGTATAAACTAGGAATAAACTGAGAACAGCACAGCTTTTTCTCAAATACCAGATTTAGCCAAAGAAGTCCCTCAGAAATATTGGGGGAAATATGGGGAACCTTATGAGCAGGAAGGCTAGTAAAAGAACAAAACCATCACAATGCAAAAATATGGAAAGATTAAGGAGCATGGGGAAGCCTTTCATGTCTGCAAAGGGTTTAGTCTTTTTTGAGAGGCTATAGGAGATGGTGGCTCTGAGCCCCCTTCCATCTGAATTCATCTTTTGGTAAGGGTGCTTGTGTGTCTAAGTGTTGAAGGATGTGGTGAGCCAGTTCTAGGAGTTTGTTTTCTGCCTCCTTAGTGAGGTTGTTCATGTTAGCTATGTCTTGAGGGGATCTTTCTTGTTGGAGCGCTGGTAACTGTTTATGGCAGAAGTTACGAGGCAGAAATGTGCAGTAATAAGGAGGTGTTCTGGTAGAAACCACTTGTCTGAAGTAAAACAATGTCTCTTAGGACTTTACCAGTGTCTGAGGCAGCTGCTGTTTAGGTCTGCGGCAGACTCGCTGGTGGGCTACAGTAGGACCTGTGAGCAGGATGGAGAGAAAAACACACACAAAAAATGGAAAAAGAGAGGCTTCATCCATTTATACTCACAAATAGGGTCCACACTGAAGCAGCCTAGGCAGGAATGGCACGGAGCGATATGACAGGGTTATCGCTGTATCGCTTTCTGTCAGGCTGAACCTATGTGTCTGCATTTTCCAGCCCACTGAAAGCAAAGTTTAAGCAGTGAGAAGTGGCAAAGCTGCATATTGCAAGTCATCCCCAGCAAGACCTGCATTTTAAAAATGTTCTTCTAATATTTTACTTGCCAGTAGCAGTAAGTTGCTTGGCTGGCAACCGGGATAAAAACCCCTTTTGTCTGTGTAAAATTCAGCTTAGGAAACTTGCAAGTGCACCTCAGCTTTTTATTAGAAGCAATGAAAAATTTTGAATTGCTATGTTGTCTAACTCATTGTAAATTTGCAAGTTCATTTTTGAGCTGAATAAAATGGTTATCTAATTACATACTTCTCCTAATTATTGAGTAATTATATACTTCTTATAATTGCCGAGTAATCACTCTGCTATAACTAGAATTTAATGTTACAACTAATTGTATAATTACTGTATATTAATGTTGTTATCCAGGCAACTTGGAATAGAGTGTTATCCTTTTAATTCCTTTTCTGTTACTCAAAACTGTATTTTTAAAAATATAGCATAGTTAGCCATTGGAAGAAAGATTAATAGTGGAATAAAAATATCAGCAGAGGAAATACATGCTTTCATTCTGGGATCAGGTGGATGAGAATAAAAATATTAACATGTTAAAACTGTACTGTAGGTAGAAAAAGTTGAATTTTCTCATGCATTGGGCACATAAATTGCTGTTAGGGAGCCTACTTTTATGCTTGAGGTTTGAGTCTATCCTATGTGGCTTGATCTGTCAACACTGGATTTTTAAACTTTCCTACACACTGTAGGTGAAACATTTTAAAAACGCATCTCTTTTCACAGCCAGCCGAGTCCTTAAGTGTTTCACATCACTAGGACCTTAAGAATGTATATGTCAGTTGACCATTTCTAATGGCTTTATTGTTGTTAATAAAAAAATAGGTCCATATAACAGTCTCGTGTTGTTGGGTGGGCGTCGCAAATAGTAAGTCGTAGACTACCTGGTGGTGCACAGAAAAACTGTGATAGATAATGGGAGAAACGTGCTTTGTTGGATTGTATCTACTCCCAAATCACACACAGGGACAGTTTCACAAAGATGCAGAAGGAGGGTTTGATATACAATTGAAGAGCTGAAAGATCAAGTAACACAGATGCATTTTTCTAGTGCTGGCTGAGTAGCCTAGGTACATAAGAGTAATCTCAGACAAAGTAACTTTTCTTCTGCAGAATTGATATGTCTGTATGTGGAATGTGTAAAATGTGATTGTTGTTCTTGCATGATAAGAAGCTTTACCTCCATTGCTGGGGTCTCTCAGGCTAATGTCGAATTCAGTGAAATCCAAAATAAATCCATCAGGTTTCATGAAATTACTCTACATTCACACTACTGTAGTCTGGGCAGTCTGGTGCTACGGCATGGTGTAATCCAGGTAGACTTTGAGCAATGAGGAACTAGGCTACAAGGCAGACTTATAAAAAGAGTTTTCTAAAACTCTCCCCCTCCCCAAAACCTCAGAAAGTAAGTTTGCCATATGTTACCAGCAGAATAACCGAAAACACCCTTTGAGCAGCTCTGTGAACATCAAAATAATGGAATGGCTTGGACTTGTACCGTAAGTGAATCACAGATTATTTATAGGAATCCCAAAGTTAGAGCAAAGTCCAGATAACTCATTCATGGTAAAATGTAATGAGAGCATGACTGAAATGTACTGCATATGCACATGTTAGTGCACATCATAGAAATATGGAATATTTGAAAAACTGTTTCAGGTTTAATAACACGTCAGTTTTAATAGTTCAGTTGAAATTTGCATAAAAATGAGTAAACCCAATGAGTTTCACTTAAAAAATTAATTAAAAGAGAGTTTTTTTAAATCTATCTTATTTAGATTTTGTAGAGGACTCTGATGTGTATATTCAATCTTCGGCCTGTGACAATGCCTTAATTTAAGATATTTTTAATAGTTACATTCTGTTTAATCTCTTTCTCATACCTGTGGTCTCAGACTTGTGTGATTCTGCTGTTGTTTGTAATGCAGAATTTCCATCGACTTCAATGTGAGAGCTCTCCATGGAATGATGGATAGTAGTAATAATATTAATCATTTATATAGCACTTTATACGTTCAAAATATTGGATAATCTTTAAATGAGCTCAGCTTTGCTCTCAGATACGTGAGTGAAATCTTCATTGACTCAAAAAAAAAAATTGTTACTTGACATACAATTTTTTTATTTTCCAGTCTTACTCATCAGGTATTTTGAAAAGGTTTATTTTGTTATTTTTGTAGGGTAGAATATTGTCTTATCTTAAGTTTGAGAACTTAAAAGGGTTGTAAAGGACATGTAGGTTGCTGTGGTGTCCTCTGATGATTTTAACTGATAAACCAAATACTTCAAATCCCTGTATTATCTTTGAGAGGACTGCAGGCCATGCTGGAAAGCATGTGTTTCTTACTGCATGTGACTAATTCTTATGTATGCAATGGAGTTAGCTTATAAACTCCTAAGGTAAGTGTTTTTCTAGTGAATTCAAGAATTTTTACCAGTTTTTCATAGGCATAAGAATTAATCTTAATGTTTTGAATTTGCATTTATCACACAACTGTTCTAGAACAAGAGTAATTTCTGAAAACTGGCTTCTGTTTGCAGTATATAGCAGTCAGCTTTGCAACTGCATGGTTGGTTCATTTGTTTTACAAGTACCACAAACTGTTGGCAAAAGGAAGAGAAAATGGTGAATAATATTTTTTCTTCCAAATAGGCCATTTTTTGGTGTTATTGGTATCTGTGGCAACTTTTCATTTGAGTAGAAATAAGACTTGGTTCATAAAGACAGCGAATTGTAGCAGATACAAGGTCTAATGTTTGTTCTTCTCCCCCCTCCCCTTTTTTTTTTTTTTACAGCTAATGCTAATTATTCTATTGTAAACGGTACTCAGATGTTATGCAGCAGCAACGAATCCAATGTATGGGTACCCATTAAAGGACTGATTCCATTTTCTAACTACACAGTACAAGTGGATGCTTCCAACAGCCAGGGCAGCTTGATAAGTGATGCTATAACAATAGTCATGCCTCCAGGTCAGATGTTACAGCAGCAACGAATCCAATGTATGGGTACCCATTAAAGGACTGATTCCATTTTCTAACTACACAGTACAAGTGGATGCTTCCAACAGCCAGGGCAGCTTGATAAGTGATGCTATAACAATAGTCATGCCTCCAGGAGGTAAGTATGAAAAAGTGCTTTTTCTGTGCATGTAACAATTACACAAATACTCTGTTGAACAAAACGTTATTTATTATTGCAACTGAGGACTGGAAGTTCAGAAGAATATGTTTGCATTAGTAGTTCTTACTAACAAAATTGTTCTTTTCAGCTTCTAATTTGTCACATTACACAATTTAAAAACTAGAGAATGAAAACAGGTAGTTGTATAGATAACGTTATGTAGGTGAGAAGTGCATTATATACTTCATTTTTTTTTCTGTGAATGGTATTGTATTCCATCATGGATGGCTAATCTAATCTAAGAATATAGAGAAAATCACCTGCGTTTTGTAATCTGTTTTAGAATAAAAGTTAAGTGCTGACAAAAAGCACTTACTGGATAGACTTAGATAATTTGTTTAATAATAGTAATATAAACCATTGGTAATTGAGCCAATATCCACAAACTGGTGTAGCTGTAAGAAAGTCAATTGCCATGTGCTGATTTACAGTGAATGAGGCTCTAAGCCACTTTGGATGTTATCTTCATAAAAATTTGAAATAAGAGAAGTGAGCAAATACTCCCTAAACTCTGTGCATATATTTTTTATTCTTTACTTTAAATGAAAGCTTAAATTTACAGCTGATGTATATGTGTTCCTTCTGCATTCTCTTTTCATGGAAATCCTAGTGGATTAGCTTTTGTTGAACAAATGCCAGTGGAAACAATGAATTTAAGGCAATTTTTAATTCTAAAGCGAGAGCCCAACAAAACTTGATCTTGAGAGATGTGTAGGTGTAGCTGATGAGCAGGAATAGTGTAGAGTGACACACATATCATTTTAAAAAAAAAAAAAAAAAAAAAAAAAGGAAAAGAAAAACAAACAAAAAATCCCATAAACCTTACAGCTCAAAAATACAATTACACTTGGAACAGTTTGCTTGCAAACAGATGGATTGGTTTTGGGGCCAAACCAACAGAAAGACTTCTGAAAAGTGCATAAATAAAATGCAGAGTTTGTATGACAGATTACTGAGCAAGAAGGAAAAGGTAGATTCCCAACACATTTTATACTTTTCCAATCTGATTGCCGAATTATACCTAATATTAACAAATATACGTTGTCATATAATAATAAAATCTCATCTGAGTTTTACCGCTCGTTTAAGACTGAGCAGTAAGACACTGACATTTCTAATCCCAATGTCACACTTCAATTTTGCATGGAGAAATAACAAAATTTGGTAGTGAAAATTTTACCAAAGAAGGTGGTAAAGGATCTTTAAAGATAGGCAAGGTTGTGCACAAGTTTATGGCAGCCATTAAGATACACTTTCTTTCATCATTAGATTGTTGTTGATTACAATTAGAAAACTTATAGCTTTGAAATGATCTTTTTTATGACCTTGTGGTAGTTTAAAAGCAATACCTCATTGATTAAATAGGTTTTAGTTCATGCTTCCTTTTAGTTAATGATCTGAAAACATATTATCCTGATTTACACATAAAATCATGCTGAAAAGCATGTGGCATTCACTAGGATATGTGTGTTTAAGTAGAATTAAATTAGCAGTGAGAGTTATTAAAGAAATCTTCCATACTAGTGTCCAGTGGACTGTGATCTGTAGTGAAATGAATAATAAATGAAGCAGTGCATATGAAAGAAGTACTCTCACACACACTACATTCTCACTATACGTGTACACACATACAGACACACACGTGTATATCTAGGACAATGTATGCTTACTTTACTATGATGTTTATTATAATGACTCTTTGAATGCCATACAATTCCATTGCATGCTAAATTATGAGTATAATGGTAATTTTACACTGGGCTGTATTCAGTGCCTTCCCTTACTTTCTAAATCATTAAATGAAATCTAGATGCTACTAAAATCAGAAGGAATTTTATTTTTTACTTCAGTGGCCAAGATTTCACTTTGACAGAAGTTTTGTTTGATCAAAGAGTGAAAGAGGTCTCATTATATACAAAATCACAGCCTTTTAGTGAGTGTTAGAATGTAGCATTCTCTTTTCAAGGATAACAAAAAAAACTGTTTCAAAAATTTGCATTGTGGGGGGTACGTCATGGAGCTTGATGGAAGATTGTGTAAGAGGGAGAGTGATAGAGGACAAAGGAGAATTCAATTTTGAAGTTACTGCAGATCAGAGTTTTTCACTCATGATACAAATTTTCTTCCAACATGCATTTTTTTCAATTATGATACAAATTTTCTTCCAACATGCATTTCTTTTGTTTCATTTTTTATTTAAAATGTATTGCACATAGTATAAAGCACACCAAATCTTTAGTGTTACCTGATTCAATATGTCTTAATTTCTCATCAAGCTGATTTGCCGTGCTTAAATTCAATGCTTAAAAAAAAAAAAATCTTAGAAATAAGGGATATATTTTATCTAAGCTCTTGACTAAAATTGCAGTGCAAGTTCAAGAGTTCTTGGAAATATTAGAAAAAATAAAAACTGAATCCAAATGTTAATCCATAAATATGAAACTTTCTTTTGACCCTTACCCTGTAGTGGTCTGGAGTTACTAATGGGGTTAGGATTTCAACTCTTAATGGGACTTGGTGCATTAGTGTTTTGTATGCATGGAATTCAGCATTCAGTTTAATAAGTGGTTGACATTGGTGATGTCCCTTAATTTGCTTAAATCTAATTGGCTCTTTTATCAGTCAAACCTGTATGGATTGGCAATTGATCAGAAAGGGTCAGCCATGACTGTGCATGTACTTAAATGCTGGAACCACCAGTTAAAGTCACTGTTGCATAATAAGAAGCTGAAACCATGAGAACAAATGATCTTCAGAGTCGGAAGGCAAAAGAAAGTGGAGAAGTTTTCAGGATATTCAAGTTCAGAACAAAGGCATTATGGAGTATATAAATTTTAAATACACTGCTTTTTGCCTCAAGACTTAAAGCTTTTTTTTCCAGATGAACTGAAATCTTGTCTGAAACTGTCTTTGTTACATCAAAGAACTGCATAGAAAGGTGAAAGAGATGGAAGAACCATAAAAGGGCATAGTTTAAAATGATTAGTGACAAATTTTATACCACAGAGGTAGAAGTAAATTTTTTTGAGTTTTATATTTTTTTCCAAAAAGAATAAATTTGTTCTATTTATCTTGTCCTAAACTGCTTTGGTAGAAGTTGTAAAAAATAATATACTAGCCAGTGCTTCACATTAATTTGAGGATGCCAGAAAGTAAAAGATCTCGAGAACAAATTGTTTTAGAATTAATTTAATTAGGTAAATGAATTGAAATGATACAGCAGATATAAAACTGCAAAAATCTGGGAGAAAGTCTTCCGTATGGAGTCCTTGGTTATAGATTTATCTTCTTAATGAGCGCTATTTCTGATGTAGTGGCACATAGAGGACCCCATTAATTTAGGATTGCTTTGTAATAAGAGCTGGTAAGCTAACAGAAAAGAAGGTTGCAATCACTACTGTTAATAGCTTATACTCTAGTTAAATCCATTTGTTCCCTGCCTTTGACCACAAAAACCCTAGACTGGAAGGGAATGAGAAGTCCTGTATGCAGAAAGGAAGAAGATAGATTATGTTGAAAAAATAGGTGCAAAGAGAGATAGCAGAGAGAGACAGACTGCTGATCAGATGGGAAGCAGGAGGGTGGAGGCTCAGTCATCACCTCCAAAGCACAGAAAACAACTGGATTCCCAAGTAATGACAGGAGGTATGAAGCTTGTTGCGGATGGTAATTCTGGATCACATAGCAGAGTTGTCTCTGTGTGGTTACTCGTGTTGGGGATTACAAACCGTTAACTTGGTGCTGACTTATCTATAGAAAAGAGCCTCGAAGAATTGATATATATTCACTATGTAAAAAATAGGGGAAAAAAATGTTTGCCTAAAGCAGTCTCTTTAATCTCTGCCATAATTTATGAAGTATGTTGTTCGTTTATATGCTCTATCTGTGATTTGCATGACATAGGAATGTCTAGCTGTGAAAGATGTCAGATTTTGCCTTGGACTCTTAAGCACCTGCCCTTTGCTGGTCCCTTGTTTGCGTATGGGAATCTGCGTGCCTCTGCCTACAAACTCGGGCTAGTTCTCAGCAGCAAAAGTGAGCCTACAAACTTGTAGCTGTTGATGTTTGTTCAACATCTACAGAGGATGGTGTCCTGCAACCAGAGGATTTCAGCCACTGTTAGTTTAGGTAGCAACACCTCTGAGTCTGGATATTGAACCACATCATAGGATTATTGATCTAATTATGCAAACAAGTAAGAACCACATCATACAACTTATATTCACATCTGAAAGCATTTGCTCATGCAAGTTGATCACTGAAGCCAACAGGCCTCCTTATATGAATTAATATTCAGTAAATAAAGCAAACTGATGCTGTTAGGCCAGAATTATTTAGGAAGAAAAATCAAACCTGAATATGCTAGAATTTTCCCTGTGAGACAGGTTTGTTTTTCTGTGATGGTCAGTATCACACTAAGAGTCACACCATAAAACTTGTTTTGAGAGGATTTCCTTTACTTCAAATTTCAGTTATTTCTGAGACATTATTTGTTTTTCTCATTTCTCTCATTTTTTCTAGTCTGTCTTTCTAAATAGGGGAAAAAAATGTTTGCCTAAAGCAGTCTCTTTAATCTCTGCCATAATTTATGAAGTATGTTGTTCGTTTATATGCTCTATCTGTGATTTGCATGACATAGGAATGTCTAGCTGTGAAAGATGTCAGATTTTGCCTTGGACTCTTAAGCACCTGCCCTTTGCTGGTCCCTTGTTTGCGTATGGGAATCTGCGTGCCTCTGCCTACAAACTCGGGCTAGTTCTCAGCAGCAAAAGTGAGCCTACAAACTTGTAGCTGTTGATGTTTGTTCAACATCTACAGAGGATGGTGTCCTGCAACCAGAGGATTTCAGCCACTGTTAGTTTAGGTAGCAACACCTCTGAGTCTGGATATTGAACCACATCATAGGATTATTGATCTAATTATGCAAACAAGTAAGA